TTGGTTTATTTGGCCCGTCTATCACCAACATAGGCCAATCAGCTAACCAGTATTTTCGCCCCTTCCCAAAATTTCCAGATTTTTCCAGATGGATATGCGGAGCAAATCCATCTGGCGGAGTCAGGTTAAGCAGCTGCAGCCATGTCCCGAATTCCTCGTTTTCCAGCCACTTTTGTAGAAATGTGCTTTTTTCCCCCTCATTCTCTAGCTTTTGCTCCGACTCAAGCTTCTTTTCTGAACATACAGCTTTGCGATCAACCAGAAGCAGTTCCACGCAAATATATCGTGATATATGTTTGACGAAATTGTTTTTATAAACATTTTTTTTATATAAAGCATTTTAAATGCCACAATAAACACATTTAATGAATTTTAATGCCAATTAAGGCCTTAATTTAAAAAATAATAATTTAATGACTTTTAATGATTTTTTAATGACCCTGTGAAGGACTTGTGTGGACATGTCCCCACCAATAATTTCTGCTTTTTTTCCACTTTCCGCTTATTTACTTTAGCTAAAGGTAACAGAGGTTGGGTGCAGCTATCTGTTTTTAGAGCGTTTTGACTCTGTGTTTTTTTCTCACTATCACTGCTCCCATGTCCCGCCTCTTAATGTAACATCATCAGATCTGTCGCTTGTGATTCGACGGTAGCATTTCACTGCGAAGAAAAAAGCTAGGTGGTTGAAGGAGAGACACACAGCAGCACTCAGTGAATATTAACCGGCAGCTACTTTGATGTTTAAGTAAAAGTTAGGTAACGGGTTGGTTAAAAAAAATGAGAGATTGTACCACTGAAAAATCAGTTTGTTTGACATACGGAGTTTTTTCTGGTAAAAATGGCAACTGATTGTAACCTTGGGTAAGCAAATCAGTAAATATAAACCAGGTGTAGAAACACTTAACAATTAAACTATAAGCCTAATTTTCTCCTAGTTTTTACTCAAACTAGATGAGGAAACTTTGGAGAGCCTGGAAAGTTACACGGACAAGTGGTCTGACAACATTGTGATGGGCAAAACACAAAAATTACGGTACTGGAAGCCAGACATTCTGGACGCCATTGACAAAAAGCTTTCAAGCTTTAAATCTCATCCTGCCCTGGTTGATATTCTGATGGGACGTTAATTCCCTCATCAGAGTGGTTTCAGTCACATGTCTCTTTGCAGTGTGAGGCGATGCCTCTCTATCGGTCCTGGGCCCTGTAGGGTTCGTCTGGGGCCGCTCACACCTGCTATTAAGCATACTTTCTTTCCGAAGAAGCTTTGAAAAATCGTTTATACATGAGCCTGCTAATGCATACATAACAGTTTTGTTCCAGATGTTCATGGATACACACTAATACTAAATACTAAGCTGCAGCTACAGATATTTACCACCCTGAATAATGTTGTATAATCACAGTAGGTTTTGCCTGCAACACACGTGGAAATCTTAAGGATATCTGCTGTTCTTGATGCTTTTCTTCTTTATTTACTTTGGTTTTCTCTCGTCTTTGTTTTGCTGTTTTTATGTTTTCTGTCCCTCTTGTCTCACACCGGTGTGGAAGCAGACTTGTAAGAGCTACCGTATATCTTCTGTGTTGCATATGTTTGAAGTTTTGTTTTATTTTCTCTTTTTTCAAGCTCTTTCCTCTCCCCTTAATCCTTATCCTCTCTTTCTTTCTCACCTCACTTTTCATCTCTGAATCTATTGTATACAATTTTACTCCCAAAAAATGTTCAAAAAATTTTAATTTACAAGTATGAGGTGTAACCTTATGGCAACAGTCATAAAGGTCTGCATGGGAAGGCGCAACTGTTTGGCTATAATCTAGCTCTGAGACATCTATTTCCAGGGCTATAGTTCCTTACGAAAGTATTCAGCCCATTTTAACTTTTTCTCCATTTTCTATATTTTAGGCTTCAAACATATACGGTAGATGTAGATATATGTAGATAGATAAATAAATAAATAAATAAATAACTAAATAAATAAATTTCATTACACTTCATGAATGTATCACTTTTTTCGTTGATTCTTCAAAAAAAAATGTAAATTTTTATTATCATTCTTGTGTTTGTAGCCTGAAATGTGGCAAAATGTCAAAAAAGTTCAAGGGGCCGAATACTTTTTCAATGTACTAATAGTTAGAAGGAAAAAAACTAAATGCCTGTGGTTGTGTGATTAACTGCAATGAAGCGACACAAGACGCTTGATAAAGCTTAAGGGAGGACAGGATCCAAAATGAGGAAGAAGGAAATGTTTCTATTTGGATGAGGTCATCCCTACAAGTAAAAAAAAAAAAAAAAAGAGTAGGGATTACAGGGTGAATGTTCAGAATAACAGAGATTGTAAAGTGAGAAAATACAGAGAGGATTGGAGGTTTTAAAATACGGCTGGAGATTTTAGGAAAAAATCAAAAAGGTAACACATTAAAAAGGGGGAAAAAATAATTAAATCCTAGGAGCAAAACTTCACCAACAACTGAACATGACCTAATATGGACAAGCAGCCTGAGCAGCAGGCATGCAGGGAGGGAGGAAGGGAGGGATGGTTCTGTTATGGAGTGAAATGTGTAAACTCGACAAGCAACTGTCCACTGAGCTAAAGTGGTGAGAGAGAGAGAAAATAAAAACGGTACCATTCCAGGTACGGACCAACACGTCCGGATGAGCCGAAATGGATACGCCCTCATTTATCACCGGGCTCTGATAGGACACAAGGAAAGGCACAGACTCCCACACCTGAGAGAAAACAGAGAAATACTTCAGTTCAGGATACATTTCTAACAAATAAATGTTAAAAACATTTAAAAAAAAAACAGAAATAACCGATGAAAAACAAATTCTGTGTACCTTTGCTGCATTTACAAGCCTCCATGCATTGAGCAGACCGAAGCCGTGCTGGTGGCTGTGATGAAACCCTGCGTCATTCACTCCCCAGTCAGCAGTGGAGTCACACTATGGTGAAACAGAGAACAGAACAAACCCATGTTTACACTGACGGCCCCGTCCATTTTGTTTATTAAGGGCAAATTGCTCAAATATAAAAGGTGCATTTTTACTTTTTTGTTTCCCATACAGTAGTAGCCATTCAAAATTTCCCCACTTTCCTTGATGGGCCTTTGGCTGGTCCCCTACAATTCCTTTTTAAACATCAATATTTGTACTAAAATATTCTTTCTGTCATGATTAGTGGACATTAAGATCTAGAGAGAAGCGTCATCTCCTGGTCAGACCCTGTAATTACATAAAAGGGTGAAGTCGGAGTAAAAAATATGCAAGAGGGGGTCACTCCAGTGGTGTTTGGAGGGGATTGGAGGAGAAGTTGGAGGGGATTTTGCTGGGAGTTGGAGGGAAGTGGGCTGTCATTCGACTGGCGTTTTGAACGGCTGCTACTGTACATGGCTTTGCTCTCAGCCGCCGTGTAAATGAGGTACACCAGGGCAAGAAATTTAAATTTTAAAAAAATTCCAGAAATTTTTAAAAACAACAAAATTTTCTTCATGATCAAACCTATCTAGTTATTGATACCATGTGGCTTCATCTGTTCTGGGATATGATTATAGGCCCAGATTTGAAAGGAAGTCTTTTAAACTCGACATAAGGTGTCTATATTTGAGGCTCTTATTTTGAAGGAAGAAATAAAACAGTTCTTTAGGATACCTTGTGATATTTGCAGAGCCAGGTAATATAGACCATTTGTTCAGGTAGCTGACATCTTGGCAGAAATAGAAGCACATTTCTAATCATCTTTTCCAATCATTCCCTTAGAATTTAGGGAAGTATTAGAGAGCCATGCATAAACAAATTCAATTTTGGATAGAATATTAAATGCCATTTACAGATTCTTTAATTGCAAGTTGAAAAAACACCTTTACAAAAATGTTTCAATGTCTATCAAATTAGAAGGTAGACTTGTCATACTCCCATCAAAGCTAAACAACATATCGAAAATGTATTATAACGATAACAGCCTGTGCAATAAAAAATGAGCAAACTGTGACAAATTGTTGGATAAAATGTTTGTATTTCTGCTTTACATCAGTGTTTTGCTAATTACATAGAAACACAAAGCCTTTGAATAATCACATGACACCTTCTAGCATCACCAATTAGATGGATTTCTTTGTATTAGATTCCAGCCCCTTGATAGATCACAAACAACTAAGTTAAGCGAGAGTCGCGTTTGCGAAAGATCGTGTTCATATAATGAAAAACAAGTAAAAAATAGCACATCTTTATTAGGAGATATTTTAGTTCCAGGAGAGACGAGGTTTAAAAAAGGTACTCTGTAAAACACGTCAAGAGGAAAAACAACTAATCTCCATTGGCATCCTAAATACAACCACAAAGACCAGTATGAAGTAGGGGTGAAACGGTCCACAAAATCCACGGTTCGGTTCACGGTTTCGTGGTCACGGTTTTCAGTTCGGTTCGGTATATGTTGATTGTTAGCCTGACATGTTGGTTGTGTTGCTGTTAGCATAAACAAAACGTGTTGCATAATGGTTGCACACCGTTTTTATCCACAACTTTCTTTCCGCCGTCATCGTAGGTCACTCTAAATGCAAAGTGGTCCCATACAGCAGACCTATAAAGTGCTGCTGGCGCGTCTTCCAACTCCTGTTCTTTCCCACTCGCCATACCCACACAATTCTCTACAACAACTGATTTTTTTCTGCTACACCCGGCTACGCTGCTTCACTTCCTCTTCTTCTTGTTTACTACTGGTGGTTGGCTTTGGTCTCATTACCGCAACCTTCTGCTCTGGAGTTTACATGTGTCGCCTATGAGAAAAAGGAGCAGCGCATGAACCGAACGCAACCCACGCAAATCGAACCGAGACAGTCGACCCGAACGGTTCGGACGGTTTTCATAAACCGTTCCATCTCTAATATGAAGAGTTCCAAAAAGCTAACGCTAGCTACCTCCTGGTGCAGAGGTGACGCTGCAAGTCCCAGGATTTCCTCTCCATGTAACTGATTGTGGTGTACAGTCAAATAAAAGCATCCACACCTTTAGAATGTTGATGTAAAATATATGATATAACCCACCGTATATTTGCCCATTTATTCTGATCATATTAATAGTACCAAATTAATTTAAATATCAAGAATCTTAAAAAAACGTTCTGTTACTTTATTTTGAATAACCTACAAGTCGGCTCTTGCCAGAAGCTTATTAGTGGATGAAACTTACTGATCTCTCAGTGATGAAGCAACACTAGAGACAACGGTCTATTGTTGGCGTCCTACTGACTTTTTTCCTGTGTCTGGGGACTTTTCAGGTCCTTTAACAACTTTTTAAAAAACTTTCCCTCTGCTCCAGGCAGAAATGTGCTTCCATACCTTGTGTTCGTGTGTTTTTGTTCTCTCTCTCTCTCAGATTGGAGGCGGATCATCGTCTAGAAACCATTAGAGCCAATAAAACGACAGCAAGGAAAATGCGCTCCCAAATTCACCTTCCCTCGTTGCAGACAATTTGTACTTTCTCAGATTACAGCAGTATCATCGGCTAGTTATGCCATTTCATGTTTCTATTTTATTTTTTTTTATCCTTCTGTTGGTTGAGGAGCGATTTCTGACTTTGATTTGCTCATTTCATAGAGGTTTTACCAGTTATTACTTTTGTCAGATTCTGTTATTTCTGTGATCTTTGTGGGTTTTTCTTTCATCAAACAAGGTGTTACAGCTACTCTTGCATCAAAATAGTTTCCCAAAAAAAATCACAAATTGCCAGAGTAGTCTTAGGAGGAGGTTTTTCGACTCACAAAACAAAAAGCACTCGTGGAGAATTTTCTTGTTTTAAAAAAAGGGGTGTTTTCTTTACTTAAAAAAAAATAACAGAAATATTCTCAGAGTTGACTTACAAAAAATTCAAATATAAAGGTTAAGTATGTGTGTGAAAAGAAACAATCAGATCCACCTCATCAGCTGCTTCTACTTGTTAATCTCAGCAGGAGGCGGACTGACAAGGAGGAGGGTCAAAGCCAAACCGATACATAAACAAATAAACAACAGCTCTACCATTCACACAACCTTAGATCTTTAACATTAATAATTTTGCAAAAAAATAAATTAATCTTATTCTTAATAGGCTCCAACACAAGGAGTACCAATAAGTTTGTCCATGTGTGTAAATATCTTTAACTCCCGTTGAGTTTCTAGATGCAACAGACCCCAGAGGTCTGTGCTCAGGTTGTCCAATCACAGCGGGTTTTACCTGGGTGGCGGTGAAGGCAACGATGTGCTGAACGTCCCTCCAGGTCAGGCAGGGCCGCACCTGCAGCATGAGGGCCACCATTCCTGCTGCCAGGGGGGCTGCTGCAGACGTGCCAGTGTGGCCCTCCGTGCAACCTTTCCTGTTCCGTATCGACCAATCTGATGTCACCTGCAGAACGACACGGCTGGTCAATTAGTTTCAGATCAGAGAGGTGTGGTCTGTGTGAAAGCCAAAAATACTAGGAAAAAAAACATGAGCAAACAACTCCATGAGAGCATAAAAAGCTCTGAAAATAACGGTTGGTTCATAAAGTAGCACCTACATCATAGCACTATACTGACAACATGAACTGACAGCACAGGGTAAGAGTTCAGAAATGTTTGTGTGCAGCTAATAGAGTTGATGGGGGGGTAATGGAGTTTGGTGATAAAAGAATAAAATAATTAACTCACTATTGGAGCAATTAAACAAAATAACATCTAATTAGCTTTAATCCCTTTAGCTCTGGTTTAGTGTGAAGTATAAAGAGTAAAAAAGAAAGGAAAGCGTCTCCTCCCTCCCCATGATTCCCATTTATGGGTGTGTTTTTAATCCCTTGTATAAATATCAGTTTTAAATGTTTTCAGATAAAGCTCTAAATCGATCTCTAAAAATAAGATGGTGGATCTTCTGTCCTGAGGAAAATCAAAATCCAGTTTCAGTTCATGAACCCACAAAGTTAAACAGTAGAACAGACTTTAATCCATCAACAGCCATTGGGATTAGCTTGTAGATTAGCTCTTTTTTGCAACAGCTAATATACCGTTTTTATTTAGACATGAATATTTATTTTCAGCCGTAATAAGAAATTAATAGTTTTTATTGTTTAAGTTCAGTTCCTAAAGAGCGTCTTACAATCCCACATCTGTTGATCCACAGCAGCTCTGTAATCATTTAAGATGAATTCAGGAAAGTGGGCTGGGTTGTGGAGGTACTTAGCATGTGAGCGTTGTGTGGTTGAGGGCGGATCGGTGGTTAGGTCCCGGCTAATCTTGGTTTCCCACAGACGATGACATCGTTGCAAGAGAAACAGGTTACTGTGGTGACGTCCTCAAACATCAACAAACAGCTGTCACTGCGTTCCCTGATGTGGAGGCTTTTTACACCGCCGTTCCCACCGGTTTAGCGCTCACCCACATTCTTAACAGGGACAGAGTAATTTACTTTAGCTTTGGTTTAACGATACATTAGGGTCTCACTGGTATAATAATCTGACTGTGCTTTAGCTAGACAGGCCATTTTAGTCCTGTTCACAAAGAAAATAACACAAAAATCTCTTTTATTTTAAAGAATACGATCCTCTGTCATGTTTTATTCCTGTTATCTGCTGCAGGATTCAGTCTGCAGTCATTAAAATCAGATTTTTAGCGGCTCTATTTTTAGTTTTTGCCCCATGACGGTTCCGGGTTGCATAAGACGAATAATAAACCCAGCAGGTTCAGTCAATTTCCACCTGATGTATTTGATGCACTTAGACTTACAATGTTCCTTGATTTGGCCCCCCCACTGCTAAAAGTAACAGCCAGCAATGATGCGCAATCCTCAGCATAGAACGGCTTCCTGCCTTCCTCATCTACCGCTCCTGAAAACACACAAAACACGGGAAGAATGAGAGGCTTAATGCTATTCATCCCCACACTCCCAGCGGTCTCTGCTCCTTACCTATTGTGATGGTGTAGATGGAGTTGGCGTAACCGTCGTAGTTGCAGTTGTCATCGTACTGACCGCCGTTGCCGCTGGCAACCACAAAGATGCTACCGAAGCCTCGTCGACCTGCAATCACCCCGTGCTGCAGGGCAGCCTAGAGGGAAAAAATAAGAAAGTTAAAATGAGGACTGAATATTTAAAAATGCATATCTGGCATAAAAGTAATTTATAGTTAGGGTTGCCACCTGATGGTACAAGATCTGCTTGGGTGGTCAGGTCTGCTCAAACACTGAGCATGCCAGTGAAGTTGCGCTATGATTGGCTGAGCATTGCAACATGGCGTAAAACATTGTGCTTGCCCAGACAACGATAATAAAATGCAGCATCCGTCTGTCGAGTCGGGAGCATCTGTGATGTTAGCTATCTAATGGCCGATTAAGTTTTACCTTATTGATAACACAGCTGAAAAAAATCTGCTTATGGTGAATAAAGTAGACCAGGATATAAAGGAGGAGAGCTGGGAAGCTCTGAGGCTAGCTGTGCTCCGTAGCTAACAGGTTAGCCTCTTTTAGCTCGGTCAGTTAGCCATTTTAAGCTACACTACTTTTAACTTTGTGTCAGCATTTTTTACAGGTAGAATAACTTGTTTTGTTTGTGTCACAAATATCTACTAAAGTCATTTTTAAGATGTTCCATTTGTCCTCCCCTTCCCTCAGATTTTAATAAAAAGAATAAAACTAAACAGAATTTTTTTCCAACAATGATTGTTTTCTATTTTGGGCTACTTTAGAGCGCCAATGAAATGTATAATAATAGCAAATGTAGGAAAAGCTATGTTGAGACTCCAAAAGAGATCTAAATCTTAAGAAACAGTGCAATACAGTTTGTCCGAATGAAGTTGCCATATGATGACATCATAAAAAGGGGCAGGGCCCCGAGCTCCTGGCACTAGTACCTACACCCTAAAACATCATCTACAACAAGTCTTTTGGGAAAAACTTTGAGTTACGACATTTTATCTCCCTTTACGATCTATATATATATATATATATATATATATTTTTTTTTTATTAAACTGAATTTGTTCTGTATTTTTAACTTTACATATAATAAAGTAAAACAATACTGGGTCAAGCAAAACAGTCGTGGCACAACTGGCCCAAGCAGAGCCCCCTGCATCACCGTGTATTGCTGTCAGGGTTGCTTAGAGACAGACGGCACACCTCCACGTCAGATAAGAGAGTTCTAACAACTCCATTGACGACAATGGGCAACGTTTCAAAGAGCAATGGTGATGCAAAGAGCTTAAATAATTTGAGGGAAGTTAGCCGCCCATGCTAGCATTGCCAGACATTAGCAAACCATCCTAAACTACAAAACAGACAACAGACCTTAAATATGACCCTGCGCTCTCTGCTTCTACCTAGTTTTTATAATAAAGAATATTTTTGAAATGTATTAAACAGAGCTGATAAGTATATTTATATGATTATGTTGGTAGCAAGCAAAAAAGCCATTACTAGGAAATGGCTGAAGGTAGAAGCTCCTAAAAGGGAAGTTTGGGTTGAAATAATACATAATATTTATATTATGGAAAGGCTGACTTTTTTTCATCAGATTTGAATCTGGAAAATTTTAAAATTATTGGGAAAATTGGCAAGGTTTTATTTCACCATGGATATCAGACTTTGTTTGATAAAAGTGTGGGTTTGGGTACCCTTATAGAGTTACAGACTGTAGTTTGCTTACAGTTCAATACATGTATAGAATATATGCGCAGATTCTGTTGGATGTTGTGTTTGGAAAAAAATAAAATAAAAATGTAAAATCGGTATGTATACTTGAATGGGAAAAATATTTTCAATAAAAAGTGCAAATAAAAAAAGAAATGTATTAAACAGACAGCCTATTTCTTACATGTGGTTATACATAATACAATGCAAACAGATACAAATTTAAAGAAGTATTTGTGGAACTACATCCACTTCTTTTTTTAAACCAATTATGTTAGTAGAATATAATATTTCGATTGCTTTAATCGTGTCTGATCACGTAAACAACGCATTAGCATCTCTAAATGTTAAATATTAGTAAAATGAATTTGACTCAAAATAGGCTTTAGATAAAAAAAATAAATAAATCACATGGCTAAGAGCAGCACTATAATATAGAAAACTACAACATCTGTAAGCTTTTTGGAATGGTTGTGTATTTTATCAAATAATTATCAAAGGTATCATGTCTGCCACAGATCTGCCTGCACTGAAACTGTACAGTCAGCCTAACTTCCTTGGCCTTCCAGTAATGCAAGTTTCTTATCTCTACAGCTCTGGTTAGACCAGATACTCCACCAGATCCTCAAAAGCAAGACTTTTTACAAAACTTTAGTGTTTGACAAAAGGCAAATCCCCAGCTGAACAAATCAGCAGGGCGACAGATACAAGAAAAATGTCAAAATATGTTGCCGAGTATATTTGTGTGGCACATAGTGACAGCATGGCTCAGGAAAGGAACATCAGTGACTCATAAGATCATCAGCTCTTCATACCCAATTTAGAGACCTGCACGGGTCGAGTTTTACCAACCCGCACCCGCCCGAACCCGTTAGGATGACTACCGAACCCGACCCGTCACCCGCGGATATCTTCAATTCAAATCCGAACTCGACCCGTTGATATTTAATCCGCAACCCGACCTGTTAACACATCAAGTAATAGGCTATAGTACGCTGCGCTGCAGAACAGCGCCATTAACACTGCAGCAGACGTGTATGCACTGACTGTGGCCTTTTTGGAGGGAAGCCCACACTGATTAATATACCCGCCCGCACTAAAAAAATATCCGCCCGACCCCCGACCCGTTTATTTTTATTTATGTATTTTATACCCGCAAAAGAGCATTTTAGCGGGTGACCCGTCGGGGACCCGCGGGTGCCCGACCCGTTGCAGGACTCTAACCCAACTTACCCCCTAAGATAAACATGGAGTGTTAAGATTTAGCGGTTCTACTGACTGTTAAAGTTATTGAAATTATATGACAATTTAATTGAAAATAAAGGAGCATTATAAATTGAAATTCAAAAACCAAATCCTGATAGAGCTACTATATAAAGACCTTTTTAAAGAAGCATTTTTTGAGACATTTAAAGATATTTCTTAGATTGTAAAATGTTTCTAGACTCTTCAGTGTAAGAATTATNGGGTGAGGTCCATCCACAGTGTGGCCGTCATCATCTGGTCCCCAGCTACAAAATGTGGAACAGTCTATGTTAGCATCCCAAAAGCTTTTTTGTTACTTTGTAGACCAAATTTAATAATTTCAAAATTAAATGAATTCAGTCAGGGACGGTTACCTGCAGCTGTAGATGTCATTTATTTGGTAGTGCTTGTTAAAGGCTATGGCCTCTAATCTGTCTGTCAGAGGCCCGTCCAGGACTCTGATACCTGTACAGAAAGCAGGGTTGAAAAGATGGAAGATTGGCTCATAAAATCTGCCAAATAAGGTTTAACAGAAACTGCTGGCTGTGCCGTTACCTGCCACCTTGCTACCGTAGGCCACCCCCACAGCGCAGAAGCTGTTGTTGGGAACGGCTGCGATCTCCCCGGCACACCGAGTCCCGTGGTGGTTGTCACTGTGGAAGTCAGGGTGAGGCATCGGGTCAGGGTCGTTGGAGTTCAGGTCGTAACTGCCCTCCGGACTCTAAAAGGGACACAAAAAAAACACTCATGGTAATAAAACCTTGATGGGCTTTTTTTTCATGATGCTTGCATTTGAATTTAACTAAATGGAGGTAAGGTTCTGTCAGGATGAGACATGGGATGATAAAGGTAACTTTCATACAAACCTCTAATCATACAGACGTCAGTGTAGTTTGCTGAGATTTTTGTATGATAGCTCAAAATAAGGTGAACCATAACCCTGAAGCAGAAAGCAAATTATCTCATGCTCATAAAATACAAACTTAAAAAGCAGTTTGTATGCAGCAAAATTCGGCCCTCAGACAGGAAATCTTTCCAAACCTTTTGAGAGAACACGTGGGTTTGGAGAAAACAAACACGGGGAATGAAGTAGGCCCAAAGGAGAGAGGATGTGGGCTCATTTTATCAGAAAAAATAAAGGAATGAATAGAAAAGGCGTCGCTTAAAGGAGTGCAGGGAGTAGGGACACCAGGTGCTACACAAGTGTTAAGAAACGTTAATAAATAGTGTTTTAAAGTGTAGCTTCTCTGGTTGAATACAGTTGAAGTCAACAAGCACTTATTTCGTTGGATGTATACGTCTTCAAGTTGCAGTTTTATTAACTAATGGGTGTGCAGATCAAAACAGAGCAGTCCAGCTCACTGGGTTACATAATGAAGAGAGTGGGGGGTGTTATAGACAGCTGCTTCCTTCGTTGTCCCTGGGGAACAACACACAAGCTAAGATATCGGATCGAGAGAGTCTAAAATATATTTGAGTTCCCGGATTTGTGAGCAAAGAGATCCTGTAGTTCCTCTGACCAGACCCCATTACTCTAAAAGGGCTACAGTTGCTAACATTTGTTTTTGTATATATATACCAATGAAACATGTTTGTTTTTTAAATG